CTGCAGCTGTGGACCGGGTAAATGTCTATGTACCTGTGATTGGCGATGTCAGTATGGATGACCAGCGAAGTGCAGCAATGCTGGAAGGAGAGAAGAGGGGGATGTGTATCGATGGACAGCGAGGTGCAGCAATGTAGGAAAAAGAGGAGAGGGGGATGTGTATGGACAGACAACGAGGTTCAGCAATGCAATAAAGAGAGGAAAAGGGAATATGTATGGATGCCTAGCAAGCTGCAGCAATCAGTGGTGTATTTAGGGTATGACAGACAGGGCACTAGGCACCACTTGAGGGGAGTGCTGCACCATTCAGGGGCAGGGGTGTTGCTTGCCACTTTAGTTAGGCTGCGCCCTACTCAGCCCCCCCTTAACCACTTGAAGACCGGGTGTTAACCCCCCTTCCTGTACAGGCCATATTCCAGTATTTAGCGATGCGGTATTTTGAATGACATTTATTCAGTCATGCAACGCTAATATTTAAACAGCCATCGCTGGTTGTATGAAATTAAAGCTGTTTTCCCGCTTGTGCATGCGCTGGACGACTCGTATGAGTGGGGGAGGGGAAGGACGTTTTAAAATGCCCACCTGCATCTACAAGGCTCCCATCTAGCCATGTATGTATGGCCGCTGGACGGGAATCGGCTAAAGAGGAACTTTACCCATGTCTTCAAAATAAGAACAAAGGCACCTTTAGAAATGTTTAGTAATGACAATCTACAAACAGACACTTCTAAATAATTACAGTCTTTTTATTTTTTACATACCTTATTTTTCTTTTTCTTGCCTAGTCTTCTGACAGTGGCCATTTTAACTAAGGGCAAGTTACTAGATCTCCCTTAACTTCCTGCAACTCTGGCACATGTGACTAGGACACGTGACCATGCACATCATCTCAGCGGAGGAAAATGTCTTTGCCTGAGATGTCATGAGATTACAGATGAGATTTCCTAGAAATGCTCTGCTGATATAACCTTCCCAGGATGCAATGCTTGGGCACATTACATCATTTGTGCCAAAGTGGACCAGGAAGTGGAAAAAAAATTCTAAGTAAAATAAAAATATGTTTGTTGAACTAATGAATGTAAGATGATTTCATATCAGCATGCAGATCTGTATGCTGATGTGATTATTAGTCAAAGGGGGTAAAGGTCCACTACAATTAGGTGCAGACCTACAATGACAGACAGCGCTGCCAATCACTGCTGTCAGTGAGCCAGGGCAGAGGAAGTTACACTACTTACATCCTTTGCCGGGCACTAACTGATGACAATGTAATGCAGAAGCTGGCAGAGTAAGTGAGTAGTGTAAAGGTGATCGTACGATAATCGGCAGGTGTATGGAAGGCGTGCAACCGTTTCTACTGTACGGTCACACAACTTTTGTCTTATGAGCATGCTTGAAAACCCGCCGAGAATCGTACGATTTTTGGCGGGTTTGTGGCCTGCTCGTGAGACAAATGCCGCACAGGCCAGTGTGTGCAAGCGCACACTGCTCGTTCAGCATTGCAGTCATCGGAAGCCCTCACCTGAGCGGGGCGAGCTTGTGATGATCGCAAGTACGATCTTTTTTAATTACCTTACAACCATCGCAAGACGAAAGGGACTGGAAGTGTCGGCAAGCTCAGAGGAGTCAGCACAGGATCGGAGACCCACCGCAATGCTGGAGGGACAGATGAAAAGGACAGGAAAGAAGATCGGATTAAGAGACATCATTTAAGGTAAGTGCTTTAATTAACATTGGGGGAGGGGAAAAAGATTTTTGATTTTAATGTCACTTTAAGCAGGCATATACAAATTGGTGCATTTTTCAGTGTTCAGCATACTTTCTTCATCCCTCTCCAATGACTCTATTTTAAAGCCCCATTAGTCAGCGAGCAAGAGAAGATGCATTCTCCAGTGAAGTGTAATAACAGCAAAGGCCAAGCCAAAGAGAGCATGTGTGAGAGATGTTAGCAACTGTAAATTGCAGTATAGATGTATACTTGTAAAAACAACCGAGATTATCCAGAGAGTAAAACAAACCTTAACAAAACATGTAATTTATAAAACCTTGTCCAGCTTTCCATTTCCCAGACAGTAAAAATACATTGTGAAGGGATTTAAAGGACTACTACAGCTAAAAAATTTAAGTTACGAGAGGGATATTCATAGAAAAAAAACTATAAAACGAACTGTATCAGTCAATATTTGACTTTTAGTCTGCTTTAAGAGATCATTTCTAATTGGTCACTGCCATTTGCACAATTTAAGCATTAAGACAATTGATATTGTGTGAATGAATTTCTCTGTCATATGACAATTATATATAATTGACAATTATATGCTATATTCAATTGTAATAGTGATTAGCTGTCATGCCGTTACTCTGAACTGAATCACAATAGTGTCCTAGCAGAGGATAGACTACCCAGTGCTCCTCTGTTCTTCTATCTTTTGTATCTTTGGGTTTCTAATCTCCTGGTAAAACATCTATTCTCTTTCTCCAGGATAGTATTTCACCTCAGGATTCTGTTCTCCGACTAAGGCACTCCATTATTCATTAGAAGAAATTCACAAACAGAACAGCTAACATCTAAGGTCAACACTTCTCCCGGCAGAGACTCTGAAGAAAGCAAACTAGAATATGATGTCTGTAATCACAAAGCCATCAAAGAAACAAAACAAGGCACGCCTTTCCTGAGAATAGGCCTGAATCCTGAAGGCTGCCGTTTGCGTAGAAAAGTTTTGCCTCTCGCTGTAGTTTCAAGGGAACCAGTCATGACTGGCTTATGCAGAAATCTGAACTAAAATTATGACATTGTGCAGACTTATTAAGCTTTATGGGCTCTAAACCTAACACTTCAGCTATCTAGGGCTCAGAGGCCACCTGGCAACTGACCTGTTAATTGCCTTAGTTCCTCCCATACTGCAAACTTAGGAGCTGGGAAATGTGTGTAAATGTGTATTCACTTCCCCTGCTCTATCTAAAATAAACAACAATGTTTTGGCTTTAGATATACTTTAATACTGAATTGTGTGTGTGTGTGTGTGTATGTGTAATATATATATATATATATTATACAAATATATATATATATGTATAAATATATATATATTTATTTACTGTGTATTTATAATTAACACAACACATCAAACCTTGATGTGAATGAAATGATGGGACAATACATGATACTCAACACGTTTCATGAACAATATGTTCTGCTTCCACAGGAAAGCTGGAGAATAACAATATCATGTCTACTACTTTGGATTAGAAAAGATCAGCCAGTTAAAACGTGTCTATGCCATCCATGCGTATAGAGACCCATTCATCCATCACCAAACAAGAGAGCCACAGGAAACAGTCATATTACTCAATTATTTATAAATCTAAAACCACTAATTGTGGCATATATTCATGCTGTCAGGATTGATTACATCCAACCTCAGGGGAACATGGACAAACAAACAAATAGATATGTTGGATCTAATAGAGCGCCATTCTATAAAAAGCAATATATGATGACCACTGGTCTTATAGGATCATTGAAGGCCAGCAAGAACCAGGTACAGTCTTTATGATCAGTACGTGATCCGTATGTGATCCAAATGGAATTGATTTTAAAAGAATACCCCTTCCAAGTCTCTGTATTCTACAGCAGTTGATTTATGGTAACTGATCTACCGCCTCCTGTCCAAGGAAACATCCCCAACCCCTTCCATATGATATCGCTAACAGTACTCTCAGGATGGTAATGGTTCCCCAACTATTGCTTTCTTCGGTCCCCGGCAGAGGCTTGAGGGTTCTCTTTAACTATTTCCTGTGAACAGGGACATATATAAAGTGATGAAGGTAAACCCCAGTGGGCCCACTGTTAACCAAGGCCTAAGAGTATTTCCTTGCTAATACTGTGTCACCCACATAACACCAAAATGGCAGATACAATATAACAAACCCCTAGTTATTAAGCAAATGTGATGTTTTCATTGAAACAATGAAGGGAAATATAGTAAATGTCATGATTTGTCTGATTTATATCTAGAAATGCAATAAATCTACTTTAACCAATGACAGCACTTTACTCAGAGCCTTGAGCCATTCACATCAACCCCCGCCTCTGAATACATTTACAGTCTCATGTGCTTATCACAATCACAAACAAATAGTTTCAATGTGGAAAATCCAATTAAAAAACAGTATGTTTCGTTTCAGTTCTGGGAGGACAATGGTGGAGAAAAAACATACAAGTGCGAAGATAATGACAATAGGAATATATATATATATATGTATGTATGTATATATAAATATTCTGACATAAAATAAAAGTATTGGGCAACATTATTGTTCAATATTGTTCAGCAGAGGTCTCCCCAAGTACAGGCATAAGGCACTAAGGCTGGCCATACACGCAAAGATTTCTTTCATTCAGCCTGTGGGCTAAACAGAGAAAGTCTAACAGATTCTTCCATTCACTCTAAACGGCATTGATGGATGACTCTTTCCCATTGGCTATTGTATTCTGACAGCCAGCACCCACCATTGTCATAATACCAAAGCAGTGACTGCAGCTGATTGGCTGCAGCGCCTGTACGGCCCACAATTTTTCACCCAGCACCTTCAACAAAAGTCGATTGAAAATCAACTTTTGTTGGGCCGTGTTGTGCTGGCAGGACCACCCACAGCTTGAATTTCAGCCAAGTCGGCAGGAGTAGAGCAAAAATTGAGCAGTGTATGGCCAGCTTAACTCAGCTGTACTCACTACAGCAGGGCAGAATGGGAGGACCTTAGGTCCAAGACAGCCATTTTACATAAACTACACAAACCTTGCTCTATTCACCAGTAAAGTATTTACTATAAAAACTATAGCATGCCACCGTATTTAAGAAGAGTGCAATACATGTTTTGAAGAAAACAAATGTAGTATTTGTAGTTTCAAGTCATTAAGAACGCTGTTATTAAAAGGGTTAGAAAGAGTTAAGCTTAAGGCAGGTTCCTGGCAGGGTGGAGAAGTCCTCCGTGCTCACCTCTCTTGTTTTTGGTTCCGTGCTTCCTCGCTGTGGCCAGTTCCTGCTCGATCTTCTTTTCCAAATATTCCTGCTTTTTAGTTAACATTTCTTCTGTTTCTCGCAGTTTGAACAAAGCCTCCTGGGCGTTGGGTGCCCCTTTCTTGCCTTTAGAAGACCCAGAGCCAGCAGAGGGCTTGAAAAGTTTGGTAATCTTACTCATGGCTGTGTTTTATTTGCTTCTAGTCACCGGTCAGAGAGAAGCCATCCAGCAGGAATGTCCCACACAGAAATCTGGATACAGGAAGAGAAGCACGGAGAGCAGCTCTGCTAGGCAGACACCTGTCATTTCCTGACCAGTTAGACTTGAAAGGCAACTTCAGTGGGGTGGAGTGAAATACGTATGATCAAGTGACTGGTTACGTAGCCGAATACCTGTCTAATAATCTCACACCTACCTCATGGCATATACCAAATTAAATTACATTATGTTTCCCTGACATCATCCACTGACTAACCCTGCTACATTAATCAGCTAAACATTAACGCCACAATACCGTGTACAAGATGTCTCAACAATGTACCTGAGATTATGTCATTAGGAATACCAGCTATTATCTGCCGCTTTTACTAGAATGGCAATATTGAAAACCTTTAGGCCCATCAAGGTCCATGTTTTGCAGTAATGCACAGTAAAAGGCGCATTCTACCATGCGTTGCTGCAATGTATGGCAACTTGTGTACGGTGGTATCCGTAATTTTAGTGGCACTGCCAACGAACTAATACAGCCACTAATACAGAACTAATATCGCTAACGTTCTGGGGCTGCGCAGGGTCCCTTCCCAAAGGCAGTCACTGTGTCATCTTGAAGGGAACACGTGCATCCCCGAAAGCTTTGCATGATGACCTATGTGACCTATCGAATTTTCGTTATTCGGAGATTCGGATTCGGATGTATCCGAATCTCAGATGTATCCGAATTTCCTAATAACAGAAGTGATGAATGAAAACGAATGCGAATTGTCGAAAATGAAATTCAGCACGAATTTTCATTTGTGGACGAATTTTCGTTGCAGCAAAGTGACATTAGAGAGGGAAAATTTTTTTTTTTTTTAAATGTCACTTTGCTGCAAAACGAAACAAAACCGAAACGAATGTCCATACAGAATACCGCTAACAAATTTCGTCCGAATCCCGAAACAAATTGACTTTCAGACCCGAATCCCGAAAAACTAAATAACGCAAAATCAAAATCAAAATGAAACAAAACTAAACAGAGTTTTGCTGGTGCACATGTCTATTATTTACAATAAACAAGATTATTTTTGCATCTTGAAGATTGTGTGCAGGTGACTTATCTTCCATTATCCTGAGCTACTGTGTTAGTTTATTGGCAGTGCGATTGAAAATTGCCTGAGATCAAATACAACGCCATCCATTGTCGTCACTACAAGCACCACCCTACTTACCTTGGTTATAGTGCTGTATGGTGTGCAGGTGACATTTGCTTCTGCTGGCAATGCATCCGCACTGCCACTGTTAATTAACAAAATCAACCATTTTATTATTTTATTTCCACAGGTCCCATACAAGGAGATGCCACCTTGATACCATTAAATACAATAAATCAAATATATATGTTAAGATATAGAAACATTTATTAAATATAAATATCATATAGTATCCACAGAAAAATGTTTTAAAATAGCTTGAAAAAACATATTCTACACTTGGCTTCCTATGAGATGGAATGTATCAAAGGGATGTGTAGTATATGGACCCCAACAGACATCGAAATCCACTAGGAATAGACATATCAATCAACATCTCAGATTGAACAGCCAGCATTATTCATGAGATCTATAGGGCCGTCATTTAAACGATCTAAATTGCATGTGTATGCTGGCGATCAAGGAATCAATTCGCATATATCCGATCCAGATGGACTTACAGGATAATGTTCATCGAGCAATCAATTGTCTGATCCACATCATGTCTCCATAGATATATAATATGTCTGATAAGCCCTGGAGGATTTAATCCCCGGACAGCTGTCCGTTTCGGTAAAGATGGAAGTCCCGACAGGGAACATCCAATAGATTTCCAAACTGGTGTACAGATGTACAGATATAAAGTATACTTATCTTGAAGGAAATGTAGACAGTCATTGAATGAGTCCAGAAAGTTTTAATATGCATCAATTAGTATCTATTTTGTTAGTAGATACTGCCAATCCCATCCCATCATAGATGTATGCACGATGGCAGTTAGCGGAGGGGATCCGTTAGCCAAGGTAAAAGGCAATCACCATGCTAACTCCCTTACACGTTTCTCCCCACCAAGGGCTTCATCAGAGAAGTGTAGTCTGCTTGTGCTCTATGCCAGGTGGTTTAAATGCCCATTTTATTATTTTATCATTATTATATTTTCTAAATATAATGCTGACGTATTACACAGAGTTCAATGTCCATGGCCATGCCATAGTTAATAAACCACAGCCAAACACACTCTAGAGTCATATTCCAGTTAACCTACAAATATATTGTTTGGTTCTGGGGGAAAACTGGAGCACCTGGAGAAAAGACACAGGTAGAACAAACAAACTCCATGCATACAATGCCCCTAGTGACATTCAAAGACAGAATGCAGAGCTGCAAAGCAAAAGTTCTAATTATATTATAACTAAAATCCTTTAAGAAATCCTGTGAATTACATCCAACACCACTGACAAACAAGTTCCCCATGGGCCATCGCTAGCACCCTATTGGAAATGGAATTTTTAACCTGTCTCTTACAAAAAAAAAGGGGAGCTAGATTAAATCCACAACTATGACAAGTATACTCCTAGTTCAGCGTGACTTCATTCCTAGAAAACTTACCTCTCATGGACATCTGTTACTCCATAATGTCCTATGAATTCCTCTATGGATGGAGGAATACAGAGAATAAAATGTACAGCAACATTACTCTTCTTGATAAACATCGTAAATGATCACACCCACATATTAATATGCACATGTCACCACAATACAGAGCAATAGAGTCAGGAAGGATTGTTCACGTGTATCAGCATCTTCTACTCGCCTCTTCACAATTCCTAGAATTTAGCCAAAAGTGTCATACAAACTTGTGAAGATGTGGGTCTACATCATTCTAGCAACCAAGGAGGCTGTTGCCTGACAACATTTTACCAACCAGTGATGCTGGTGGCTGACAGCATCCTACCAATCAATGATGCTGTTGTGTTACAGCTTCCTACCATTCTACCAGATGGTGTGGGTGACAGCTACTACTACCAACCAGTGATGAGGATTTTGTTACGACCCAGCTTATTCCAAAATTACATTGGTCTTAATTATTATTATACAGGATTGATATAGCGCCAACAGTTTGTGCAGTGCTTTACAAAACTGAGGGAGATAATACAGTTACCTATACAATTTCAGTACAGGAGGTAGGCGGGCCCTGCTCCTGAGAGCTTACAATCTAGGAGGGGCAAGTGATGTAGGTTGGGGCAGAGTTGTAGATGGCTTTGTAGATTATTGTTAGTGTGTTGAATTTTATATGTTGGGGAAGTGGTAGTCAGTGGAGCGATTGACAGAGGGGGGTGGCGGAAACTAATCGATTGGTAAGGTGAATGAGTCTGACAGCAGTGTTCATGATGGACTGAAGGGGGGATAGCCTGCTTAGTGGTAGGGCAACAAGGAGGGAGTTACAGTAGTCAAGCCGAGATATTACAAGGGAGTGAATTAGAAGCTTTGTGGTATCATTTGTTAAGAAGGGACGAATTTTGGAGATGTTACGGAGGTTGAGTCTGCAAGATTTGGATAGTGATTGGATGTGGGGCTGAAAGGAGAGCTCAGAATCAAGGATTACGCCAAGCACTCTGGCTTGACAGGAGGGGCTGATTGTAGTGCTGTTAATTGTGATGGGGAGTTATTTCCAGTGTTCTTAACTCCAAAATGGCAGTGTTTGTTAATAAATTTGTCGCAGCCAAAGCAGCATCATAGAAAATTTTGAGAATTTGTCTCATGAGTCAGTCTTACCTGTGAAACTGTAGCAAACCTTTTATGAATCTGGCACAAGAGTACTAAATACAGCCATTTGTAATGAGTCATATGTTCCTTTGCATTCATCAGTATTCAGTAGGGATGCACCGATACCGATACTAGTATCGATATCAGTGCCGATAACCGAGTATTTGCTCCGATGCCTATCCCGATGCTTCCTGTATCAGGAAGCCGGGCAGCGCGTCATTACACGCAGCGTGTCATTACACGCTGCCCGGTTTCCTGATTGGCCGGGAAGCGGCTCCATGCTCTCTCATCACTTGTGATGAGAGAGCATGGAGCCGCTTCCCGGCCAATCAGGAAGCCGGGCAGCGTGTAATGACACGCTGCCCAGCTTCTGATTGATCGGGAAGCTGGCCAATCAGGAAGCTGGGCGCCGTGTAATGACACAGCGCCCGGCATTCTTATTGGCCGGAAAGCCGGCTTCATGCTCCGTCTTCATCTCATGACGAGGGAGCATGGAGCCGGGCCTCGCGACCAATCAGAAAGCAGGGCGCTGCGTCATTACACGGCGCCCGGCTTCCATGATTGCCCAGCAAGATGGCTCCGGCTGGGTACCGGTGGAAGGCTGCTCCTGACTGGAGAGGCCCCCGGGGGTGACAGGCTGGACATGCTGAGGTGAGAGGGGACAGACTTTCTTGTTAATCGGGAAGCTGGGTGGCGAGTCTTTACACGCTGCCCGGCTTCCCGGCTAATCAGGAAGCCAGGTGGCGAGTCATTACACGCCACCTGGCTTCCTGAATGGGACTTCCGGTATTCGGTAATCGGTATCGGCCTGTACCGAAAAAAAAATTATCGTTACTTGTACACGATACCAAAATACCGGTATTAGTGCATCCCTAGTATTGAGCATTTTCTTCAGTTGAACAGTGCTGGACAAAACACGCATTTACTTTTAATATGGAAAGAAGTTGAAGGAACCAGAGGGAAAACCTACAACCGAGACCACACCATATGTCAATACATTTGAATTTTATTTCAGCGTTCCAAAGTTCAGTAGAGTATACCCAGAAAAAAATCTGTAATGATTTGATAGGAGCCTTACCTGCTCTTCTACTGCATGAGCTGTGCTGTCAATCATGCGTGTGTAAGGGAAAAGATGGCACAGACACAACATTTCTGAGTCAATCAGGTGGTGGCCTGCATATTGGCTGTATGGAAAGACAATTGTGTTATTAGCTATATTCAGTGATCCTCATTCTATAACAATATATGTTGCATTGTGTTCATCCTTTATTATGGAATTTCTCTGCCTTTGTCTGCTCAGGAAACAAATACACGATGATACTCCTACCAGTGCGGTATATAATGTATGCACTTCTACATAAGCATGAAGCTCCCTAGCGCTCAGGATCCTGCATGGCTAATTTGCCACAATATTTAAATTCAATTCAAAGCGTCTTTGTCTTGTGAGACAGTAATTTGATGTTTGACTTGTTTTTATCCCCCTGCTCCCATTGAGCTCCTTATCTTCCTTTTGACAGCGCGGAGGAATTTTACACTCTATGAAACCCAATCCCCTGAGACGCTGACGCTGCCAATGTTCTCCTGTGGCTTATTCATCCAAGTTCACCTATCTTCACACAAATGAGCTTTTGTTTGTGACAAACGAACTGTGCGGGCTGAATTGGAATTTGGAGGAAACATAAGAGCTGGAGTGACGAAACGCGGCAACTGTACAAATAATATAACTAGACGCAAAGAGGAGAAATAGCATCTTTCAGATAAAAGCGGCAGAATCTGATCAGTTGTCTTTACAGCAGGGGTAAAGAAAGTCCTCGAGCTGTGTGGAACTGCAAATCCCTTCATGCATCTGTCTCTGGGAGTCATGGCTGTGGCTGGTAGCATATTGCAATGCCCTATGGGACTTGTAGTTGCTGGCAGGCCGAAGTTTGGTTACACCTGCTTGACAGGTTGGGAGATGGAAATGAGAATCTGGTTGATTGCTATGAGCAACACTTTTGGGTTCCAGGAAATTTCCAGACAGTTTCATCCCTCCCGACTTTCTGAGATGAGAAAGAGGGACAATGAGGGGAATTTATCAAAACTGGAGCAGGCAGAATCTGGAGCAGTTGCCCATAGAAAGCAATCCGATTCTATCATCAGTTTGTTCATTTAACCTTTGAAAATAAAAAATAGAAGCTGACTGGTTGCCAGGGGGAAATGCTCCAGATTTTGATGCATTTCCCCTAATGGAATTTATCAAAATTGAACAAGACAAAGAAGGAAAAGTATCAAAACTGGAGCAAACAGAATCTTGGGGGGGGGGGGGGGGGGGGGGAGAAAACTGGAGCAGACCGAATCTGGAGTAGTTAGCCCTAGTAGCCAATCAGCTTCTCTCTTCAGTTAGTTCAGGTAAACTTTGCAAATGAAAGACAGAAGCTGATTGGTTATTATAGGCAGCTGCTCCAGATTTTGGGGGGAATTGATCAAAACTGGAGCAAACTAAATCTGGAGCAGTTGCCCATTTGGGGGGTTTTACGTCATTTTCAGGCCTAAAATGTGGAATATAACATGGGTGCAAAAATTGAAAAAAGGGCCTCAGTCATGAAGGGGTTAAAATCTTTAATTTTCAAAGTTTACCTGAACAAACTGAAGAGTGAAGCCGAGTGGCTACTAGGGCCAAATGATCCAGATTCTGTCTGCTTCAGTTTTGATACCACCCCAAACAAAAATGTAGAGAAGTTGCTCATGGCAACCAATCAGCTTCTATTTTTCATTTTCAAAGCTAATTGGTTACTTAGAGCAAATGCTCCAGATTCTGTATGTATGTATGTATGTATGTATGTATGTATACAGTATATGTATGTATGTAGGTATGTATATATGTATGTATGTATACAGTATATGTATGTATGTATATTCTTATTTTCGGGGTAGGTCTTATATTTTAGCAATTTCCAAAAATACTACTAGGTCTTATTTTCGGGGAAACAGGGTATGTATGTATGTATGCATAATCCTGAGCGGGAACGAGCACAAATGTAAAATATACAGAAAACTCAGCAGCCATGAACTGACCAGCTCTGCACATAGTGGACATCTGCACAAAGCATTCAAATGCTTATGATGAGGTGAGCAGAGATCAATTAAGGAATCCTGAAGAGTAAATTAATTAGCGGTGGTCATAATTGCTAAGCATAAGAAGGGGGTCTCTGCCTTATCGTTGACGTACAGTATCTCATAATCCCATTTTGTGAACTGTTGGCAAATATGATAAATATAAACGTTATAACGTATGATCTCTGTATCATTTACTAAAGGTGACTGTAGACAAAGGAAGGTGGTTGGATCCTGTGCTGTGTCATGAGTTTTCAGCTCAGCTGAACGTTGGTGTTTATGTCAAAAGAGAGCGGATGAGATGAGGATAATATGCTGGGATCCCCTGCTGACATCTCATATCACAGGATGGACTGTTACATAGGTTGTGCAGGATGTCTCTATATTAAGGTGCACATACACCTGCCGATTATCGTACCATAATCGCGGGAAATCCCGCGATTGTACGATAATCGACAGGTGTATAGAAGGCGTGCAATCGTTTCTACTGTAAGGTTGCACGTTTTTTGTCTTACGAGCACGTTGGAAAACCAGCCAAAAATCATACGGTTTTTGACGCGTTTGTAAGACAAATGCCGAACGGGCCGGTGTGCGCAAGCAGTCATCGGAAGCCCTCCCCTCGGAAGTACGATCTGCCTGTCCAAGATAGGCAGATCGTACAATTTTTAAATTACCTTACAACCATCGCAAGACGAAAGTCGTGAGATGGTTGTGAAGTGTATGGCCAGCTTTACTGTGCAGTCCAATATGCACCAGAGTAAGACCACCTCCATATAGCAAAGGTAGCAAATTAAAATTCAGGGAGGTCCGGTGAATAACATTTTTGTCGAGCCAAGGTCCAAATCGCGGCCCAGGCAGAACGGTCAGTGACCGTACCACGGTCTGTCATTTAGGCCGCATTCACACCAGCAGCTGCACTATGACGCACAGCTAATGGTGTGTGTTTATCGCACTATTTGTTTGTTAGAATTCCCCCTGCATGCCTTACGCTTGCATGTTTATTAGAATAAGATGGCAGGGTTGGTTTTCTTTTTTTTTTTTTATTTGAAGGTTTTTTACTTTTTACTAGGGATGCACTGATACCGATACTAGTATCAGTGCCGATAGCGAGTATTTCTCGTACTCACCCACATGCTCTGATACTGGAACTTCCGGTCAGAGGAGTAGCCGTGAGGCGGGTCATTACTCGCCGCCCGGCTTCCTGATTGGCCAGGAAGCCGGCTCCATGCTGATTGCCTGGGAAGCTGGTTTCCCAGCCAATCACAATCAAGCTGGCAAAACAACATGGAGCCGGCTTCCCGGGCAATCATGTAGCCGGGTGACATGTCATTACCCGCAGCCTGGCTTTCTGATTGCCTGGAAAGCCGGCTCCATGTCAACGGAAGCACCAGTATGGGTACTCGATATTGGCGAGTACCCAAAGCAAAATATCAGTACTCAATACCGCAACACCAGTATCGGTGCATCCCTACTTTTTACTTTATTTTTAACTCAACTTTTGCTAACACAAAGGAGTTAATAAGCCCCTATGTGACAGCATTTGGAGGTGACAGGTTCTCTTTATGGTACAGTCCAGGTTCTCTTTATGGAGACATCTGGAGTCTATTAGACCTGTGATGTCTCTCTTGCCCTCTAATACAGACGATCGAGTCACAGGAAGTCTGCTGGTTTCTGACAGCTAAAGCATGAAGCACTGAGGGCAAGCACTATTTTTTGCAATTGCACCGCGTGCATTGCTGTACCATGCATTCTGGTGCAGGCGATCACACTGCGGGGCAGGGGCGTGGCTGCAGTGCCATTGACTTGAATGCACCCCTACACACCCCCGCCCCAGAATGCAGGGAAGCTGTAATTATGCGATCCAGTGCATTCCGGCAACTAACCATGCTGGAACGCACTGGAATTGGTGTGAACAAGCCCTTCATGCTTCAGTGATCACAGAGCAGGTCAGGGAATAGACGCACCCTCTCCCAATCCTGACATTGTGTGCCATGGTCCTATTAGTAAACAAGGTAGATTGCCTTGTGTGTGTCTAAAGGTGCCCATACACCTTACAATTATATGGAGATTTTTGTCTGCGATTGCATTTTCGCCTGAAAATCTGCCAGGTGATGGGAAGTGTACAATCTCAATTACTGTACAACTGGCAGATTTTTGTCTTTCAAGCATACTAGAAAACTTTGTCTAGTTGGACGAAAATTGACAGGTTGGTGGCGGTATTGTATAACAAAAATCTCCAGATGAAAACTACGCATGCTGAAACGAAAATCTCTCCTTTTCGAGCCAGGTGGTGGTGCTGACGAACCTTAACCACTTGCTGACCGGGGTGTTTACACCCCCTTCCTGGCCAGGCCATTTTTCAGTATTCAGCGCTGCGGTACTTTGACTGACATTTATTCCGTCATACAACGCTGCACTGAAATTAATTTTATACCATTTTTTAGGGACAGATAGAGCTTTCTTATGGTGGTATTTAATCACCAGTGCAGGTTTTTTATTTTTTATTATATAATGAAAAAGGACCGAAAATTTTGGGGAAAAAAATTGTTTATGGGCGACGCTTTAAAAGCTTTTACCGCTCATCAGTTTAGTGTTATCAGTGATTGATGGCCCTAGAATTATTGCTCTCACTGCGACGTTCCTGGCGATATGTAACATGTGTGGCGTAATCGTTGTTTTTGCACGTATGCGCACCCGACGCGTATTTACGTGTATAAGTGCGTGCGCATGGGGGCAGGGGACGTAAAACTTTTTTGGGTGCTTTAAAACATTTTTTTTAAATAAGGTTGCATCCAGTGTGAACAGGCCCTAAACAGGGCCGGCCTTAGGCCTTTAGGCGTGGTGTCGGCCGCACGGCGCCCTTGTTGCCATGGCGCCCTGTGCGGCCGCACTGCTCGCACACCCCTAAGGCCGGCCCTGGCCCTAAAAGTCATAAAACATGGTGGAAAATGTGCATGTCTTGCACAGATGTACTGTATAAATACTGTATAAATACTGTATATTTGCCTTTCCCTTGACATTTAGAATTAAAAGGAAACACTATCATCATGCATATCCGCTATTCACTGGTAAATGAAACAGTCATCAGTCTCATCTTTGCCTTTTACTAACCGTCCATTATCTGCCTGCACTGCCCCCTATACGTTGCATAGTCCCTGGCCTGGAGAGGCTTTCAGCCAGCAGATGGAGCACATGAGTAAATTAGACTATGAAACCAATAGACCGGGCCCAGGATCGCTGTTTTAATGACGTCATCTGAGGTGGACGGAAGTTCACTGGAATACAGGCTAGTCATTTTCATACAGCATAAACAAACTTTCCACGTTGTAACAGCAGACAAGGCGGATTGCTATGGCAGAAGTGGAGATCGGACAGCACTGTGATGTGGAGCACTGCGGCCAGCTAGGTGATGAGATGCCATAAAGGAAATCTGTAATGAGACAATGATAAGACTTCACTGCTGAGCTTTCCTACTGACAATACTGGTTGTCTGGCTGTCATGCGAATCCTCTTGCTTTACAGTAAATGTAAAACCTAACTAAATGACATTTAGTTTGCTGTAGCATTGTGTTTTAGAAACAGTTGTTTTCTTTTCTTTCTGATAACTGTTTTATTATTTGCTGGAGCTCTCTCTCCTGCGAGGGTGGCATGGAATTGCTCAGACCAAGTAACAACAGTGTAGTCAGTGAAAGGCTACATGGAAGGGTGACAACACAAGAGCATAACTTAGTGAGTGGGACAAAGCATTGTCACCCTTTAACAGAAAGTGCCTTAACAAGGACCTTCATAGCAAGATAACCAGGTGTAGTTTTAATGATGGCTGCAGATTAAAAAATATTAAAGCCCAACTCTGGGCACAAGACCTCTTTCAATGTAGCCCCCTCTCCTTGCACTGCAAGAGGTAAATGCTCATTACGTCTAGGGGTACAAGAGGGGATATTGCATTGTACATGTAGAAGGTGAGAGTGTCACGGCAGCCAGGAGCACCTTACAGAGTAGGCTTTCTGGGAACAGTCATATGGATGGAGGGAGACTGCCAGAGCAAGGTGAAAGGTGTGTGGTTTTTGTGTCCCGTGTCCAGGGTTGGACTTGAAAAATGGCTGTTGGCATGTACGCATGGAGACACTATGCACTGTGCTTTAGCAAGTTAAAAGTCATTGAATTAGGAATTAAATCTACATTAAAGAAAATTTGCAGAGGAGAGCCCATCTATTGAGAATGGCTTGCAGAGCATAGTAACCCCTAGCAACCAATCACATTTCCATATCTTGTATTCAGCTCAAAGAAAAATGTTAATTGTCTGCAGCAGTTACAAGTAATAAAAGAAGCAGGTGGCCAGCTCAGTAGTTATCCCTGCTCAGACTATAGCATGCTGTAATGCTGTCCTTTGATATTGTTTTAGTAACTTTTATGTTATTGTCATGCCTCTTTTTGTTTCTGTTTTTGTCCAACAGATTTTCTTCCTTTTATCTGTGATGGCTGCTCAAAAGTATTTTGGTGAGTGTTGGGTATCGAATGATAGATGCTATACATCTACATCAGGAGCCCCCTTCACATGGGACTTCCCCCTTCACATAAGGAGTAAGAAGTCCCCTTGACATAAGCCACCTCTTTCACGTCGGAGGCACCTCTTTCACGTCGGAGGCACCTCTTTCACGTCGGAGGCACCTCTTTCACGTCAGAAGACTCCCCCCCTACACATCAGAGTCATGTGTTACATCAGAGCACCCCTTTCACATCAGTGTCCTTAATCCCCCTTCACATTACAATCCCACCAGCACCAGTAAATTAATGACCTTGTCAAAAAATTGAGGCACACCTACCTCATTCTCTACTCTACCCGAAAAAGTAGGCAGCTCCCTCACCCTAACATTAAATACTTTTAAATTAACATTAAATACTTTTAAAACCCAAACAAACCTTCAGTTTAAATCAGTTAAATACGTTCCAGGTGCATCAAGACAAAAGATTAGCAAAGTTTTACAGTTAATTTTCTAAGTGGAAACGACGGTCCCCTACCAGCAGCTACAGGATCCTTGCTGTCTGTGGTGACAAGCCCCACTGCTGAGTCGGAAACCAGAGGTCTCCAGTTAGCAGGAATATGAGCTTTGCTCATTGAAGAGTGCTGGCTCTGACCCTGTAAAGGGTATATTGAACCTCTGCAGGGAGACCACTGCTCCCCCACCGAAGGCAAGGACCCTGCTCTGTAGCTGCTGGCAGGGGGCAGGCTTTTCCACTCAGGCTGTGGCTGTTTCTGAAAGAAAATGAACTGCAAGACATTAAAGAAATTTTGTTTGTATTCACTTGTAATGTATTTCGCTGATTTTAAAGTGAAGTTCCGTGTGCTTTCACCTCTAAACACCTGGATTGTTCCAAACACTACCTTCACCAGAACCAGCAATTCTATACCTTGGCGCATAAAAGTAGATATATTTTTCATAGCACCGGCTGATATTCGTTTGTTATTTTTTGGCATTTGTCTCATATGTTGCTATGGGAAATTTGTATTTTCTTCCTTTGCTTCAGCTGCTATGTATATAATAGAAGACCTTATTTATCAAGTGATATGAGGAAACAAAGATAGTGTCTGCTTTTGATGATTGCTTCTAGAGAAAACCAAAACAAACATATAAGCAATAGCTATAGACATCATCGTGACTTTACTTTCATACTTAATACTTATTTGAAGTTTGTGTATATATTGATATGCCAAAGGATTTGTGATTGAGACACTACTGCCAGACAAGATCTCGGCAATATGTCAGCACCAATACAACCTAGTCAAAGCTGCAAGCACTATAGAGAACAACACTCTGAGAACATACACTGAGTGGCCAGATTATTACGAACACCCCATCAGTACTTTTTTGGGCCACGAGATGTTGAAAGGTGATGCGAGGAATGTGACACTGCACTGTTGCCCTTCTGTTGTCTTGTACCAGTCTTGCCACTCTCCGCTCTGCCCTAACATTGACTAGTCGCTGACGGCCACAATTCGCACGTTCAGACCCAGATTTTTGGCTGACAGTCCAGTCTTTAAACACTTTAACAATGAGCCCCTCTTGAACATTTAACGAATTCTGCTGTTTTGCTGATACTCGCTCCATGGCTCGTGCCAACAATCATTCCACGTTCAAAGGCTGTTAAATTGCGTTGTTTACCCATATCTTCAGAAAAAAATCACTTCTACTGTCGTGGTAAACAACCTGCTTCCCTATTTATAATGGTCTGGCCCTTTAGCAACTTTAGCGCGAAATTATAGCTAATTTGTTTTCAAACGCCAGGTGGTCATAATAAACCGGCCACTCCGTGTATACATATATTGCATGTGCTACGTTAATTGATTGTATATATAGTATTTGTGTGTATGTAAAATATATATATATATATTTGCTAAGTCCTCCAGTGCAGCAGGCAACATTCCCCAAGCATACTTATTGGCCATTCAAAGAGAAGCATCATAGTGATAAGTGATCATTCTCCTCTCTCCTCCTGTCTGTATGTTCACTCTAAGCACATGTGTACTGCAGTAGAGGACCTATGTTGTCCTTCCCTCGCCCAGTGTTGCTGTACAGGGGATTACAGGAGGCTGATATGACAAATTCCGGTAATCATACCTCTTGCATTTGACATACATTTAAAAGTCAAATCATTTTAAAACCCTCATAAATTGGGTATGTGATCTATTTTTTAAAGGTTCTTATTTTTACATTATTATAGTTTCTAATAAGTAAAAATTAAGTATATCATGTGTTCTGCTGCTGTTGTTGTTTTTTTTTTGTTATCACAAATGTGCATGTTTGTTGTCTTTACAGCCTTGTACACAGAAACAGAGACTCTCATGGCTGTGTTGAGGTAATGAAATACAGTGTCTTTGCAAGCAGCGTGTCTTTGTAGTATTGCACAGGTTTTTATCATAAAACTTTCCAAAGAGCATTTACCGTAGTTACAGGATACTGAGATGTCAGGGTGACACTTTCTGCTTTCTTGGCCTACAGAAATACCTAATTAAAGTAGTATTAAAGTCTCAAACCTTTTCTCAATAATGATTTCAGATCAAACAAATATACATTACATGTCATGTTTCTGACCAGCTGATTCTGCAGGAAACTAAAACTTTTAAACAGAAAAAAGGAGCAGCATCCATTGTAAGTGATTTCATCAGCATTTTAAATAGTTTAAAAACGTTTTGCCTTTAATATCCCTTTGAAGTAGAAGGTATTTACATCTTTATTGTTTCAATTGCAAAACAAAAGCGGTCTAATTTATCATGTAAGGCTGGGGGAGCCATGCACTTATTACAGGAGAAGTAATGGGAAAGTAAAATACACTCTTTGCAATAGGTAGAGCCAGTGTGGGATACTGCAGCTGTCACACACCGGCTCTATAGATCGAGAGCTGAGCTATCGTGTGTCCACTGATTACTCAACTCGGTCTTTTCCTTCCAGAGAGCGTGATTGGCTGCAAGCACTGTTTGCCCAACAACTTTTCAGCATACCTTATGATAAAAAAACAGCAGATGTTATTGTGTGGATTCTTTGCCATCTAGAAAACTTACCGGAGTCAAAGGAAAACCCGTGTGGACGGGTGGGTGCTTGTAGTGGCCACGGATGGCGCCGTGAAGAAATGCGATCAAGATAATAACGTCACCAGCACTCCAAAGGTTAATGAAGCAATAGTCAATTTATTGGCACATTGCCATTCAACTGCAAGCGCTTGCGGGGCCTCTCGGTCTAAAACTTTTAAACAGAAAAAAGGAGCAGCATCCATTGTAAGTGATTTCATCAGCATTTTAAATAGTTTAAAAACGTTTTGCCTTTAATATCCCTTTGAAGTAGAAGGTATTTACATCTTTATTGTTTCAATTGCAAAACAAAAGCGGTCTAATTTATCATGTAAGGCTGGGGGAGCCATGCACTTATTACAGGAGAAGTAATGGGAAAGTAAAATACACTCTTTGCAATAGGTAGAGCCAGTGTGGGATACTGCAGCTGTCACACACCGGCTCTATAGATCGAGAGCTGAGCTATCGTGTGTCCACTGATTACTCAACTCGGTCTTTTCCTTCCAGAGAGCGTGATTGGCTGCAAGCACTGTTTGCCCAACAACTTTTCAGCATACCTTATGATAAAAAAACAGCAGATGTTATTGTGTGGATTCTTTGCCATCTAGAAAACTTACCGGAGTCAAAGGAAAACCCGTGTGGACGGGTGGGTGCTTGTAGTGGCCACGGATGGCGCCGTGAAGAAATGCGATCAAGATAATAACGTCACCAGCACTCCAAAGGTTAATGAAGCAATAGTCAATTTATTGGCACATTGCCATTCAACTGCAAGCGCTTTCGGGGCCTCTAGGGGTCCCCTTCATCAGGCTCATTCTGAGGCCCCGAAAGCGCTTGCAGTTGAATGGCAATGTGCCAATAAATTGACTATTGCTTCTTTGCCATCTACACACAGACTAGATCAATACATTTTTTTAGCTTATTGCTAAAATGTAAATACAATTATTGGTAAAGAACTTCAGAGTGTTCAAATCTCATTCTGTTTCTTTATTTGTTTTGGTGAAAGGTTACAGTGAGTACGGATCATGAAAAATCTGAGGGGAGCACACACTACCCATGTACTTATAAAGGCTGCAGTGATAAGGAGCTAGTGCAAGTTCTGTGTCCTTTCTGTGCGAAACACTTCTGTTTCAGGTATGTTCAATATACACAGGATGATGTGTGTGTGTGTGTATATATTTCCTGCTCATCCTCATGTTGGCATACTGTGGGTCAGCTCCTCCCCCTTGACCCCTCAGGACCACCCCTAGTCAAGCTCATAAAAGAGAAGAAATAGACAGTCTAACCGTTCTATTTTTTGTTCTCGCTTCAGGCCACCTTCTTATTGTATCCTGTGATTCCACCCTACCAAATCTCCCACCCGGGTTCAGCCTCTCCTGGGAAGGATGGCCGGACTGTTGGGAGTAAATCTCCCTGATTCTGGGCGCCTGTGGTGCAGGGCCTCTTTAAGGCAGAATACATTTCTGCTTCTAGTTGCGGGGAGCTCACTTACTGTCTGTTTTCTTTCTGGCCTATATCAACAGAATGCGTGGAATTAGGAGAACAGACAGGGTGTTCGTTTTACCTGGAGGTCAAAAGAAATGATTGTCTGCCACTCCTAGGATTCTGTCATCCTGGATCCAGACAGTCATCAAGATGGCTTACACTAAGCAAGGGCCTGCTCCCCTGGCTTCAGTGCGTGTTCATTCAAATAGGGGAGTTTCAGCATCTTGGGCTTTGCACGATAAGCTTTCGGTGGGAGACATCTGAGCTCGTTGAATACGTTTGCGAAACATTACAAAGTGGATGTGGCTTTGGCGCAGATGGCCCGTTTTAGTTCCTCAGTTTTATCAGCAGCTTTAGCTCAGCAAATTGTTGTCGTTTTTGCAAGATTTTGTGTTATATTTATTTATTCCCCACCCTATTGTTTTGAGCTTTTTACAACCCGCAGTATGCTGACATGAGATGAGGAATATGGAAAATTGTTATCTGACATTTACCGTAATTTTCATTTCCTGGCTCATCCTCATCTCGGCATAGATTCCCTCCCTGGTGTGTGTCTGTGGCTTTTTATGGAACGTTTAGTCTTCCCCCCCCCTCGCTCTTCTTCTCTTTTATTAGCTTGGTTAGGGGTGGTCCTGAGGGGTTAAGGGGGTGGAGCTGACCCTCAGTATGCCGACATGAGGATCAGCAGGAAATGAAAAATTACGGTAAGTATCAGATAACAATTTTTATATATATATATATATATTTCATATAACAGGGTATATTTTTTTCTGACATCGTCATCAGTCAGATCATGAGTGTGATAAGCTTGAAGCACCCAAACCTCGAATGTCTGCAACACAACAATTGGTGAAAGAGATTGTTGGTTAGTGGATCTGTTTTGGTTTTTTTCTGTACATCAGTGGATATTTGTTAAAGAGAACCAGTTTTAGCCTTGAGCCTGAATATTCAGTTTTTATGTTTATCTAATTTTAGTTTAATATAGGTTTAGTTACTCTGAGGATGACTCTAGGCCTTGGAAGGTGAGAGGTTACCTGGAGTCTGAGAGTTTCTGGTCTGTCATCTGTCTGCAGTGCTATGTTGTAGTTTATATTTTAGAGCCACCTAAGGCAGACTGGAGGTTTACTGTACCAAAGGCTGTACTGTGTTACCTACAGGAAGACATGGTGAGCCAGGAAAGCAGCATGAACTTGTCAGAAAATCATTTATAGTGTGTTCATAGCATTTTTTATTTGTCTTATTTTCAGATTCCAAAAAATCTGTTCCTCCCAGCAAAGCGAGGAAGGGAGCAAAAAACAGCGAGACTGCCGCAAAAGTTGCACTAATGAAGCTGAAGCTACATGCTCTGGGGGATAAATCTTTGCCACAGGCAAGTGTTTGGCCAGAGTTCTTTATAGGTGGTCCTGCCTAATCAGAACATGGGGAGGGAAATTACAAAATTGGTGTTGAACTTCTAAAGCAACTAGGTTACAAAAACAATGCTATTGGGTATAAAGTGCAGGCACCAAGAAGTGATTGCAAATACTTGTAGCAGCCTTTTAGTCCCCATTTATAATGCTAATACACATTTCTGTTGGTCAGTAAGGCAGTTTGCATTAGTAATGCTTGGAAGGCAGGAGGGGGCCACCAAGCTGCTTACTGATAGTGAAAATGCTTTGTCTGTCAGAGCAGTCTGGCATTTAGCAATAGTGATGGGAACTATGGGCCTCTAGATGCCTGCACTTTATACCCGATAGTAATTATTGTAGTAAATAGAAAGGGTTTAAAGGAAAACTCCACTTTTGAGGGGGGAAAGGAAGAAAAATATTGAAGGAATGTGGTACTGGTATCCTTGAACTTTCTCTTAATCTTTGTGATCTATATATCGTAAATGAAAAACCATTTCAAGTGTCTCCACCCTTTCCCAAAATAGCAGGTGAACTTTAGTATAAACGGGGACGGGCAAAACTGTTGTTCTTTTGTACCAGTGTACAATATATGGATGAAAAAGAATGTGTAAAGATACTAGTACCGCAACCCCAATTCCAAAAAAGTTTGGACGTTGTGTAAAATCTACCTAAAGCCAGAGTGCAAAACTGATTTGCAAATCTCATAAACCCATATTTGATTCACAATAGAAAACATGTCAAGTGTTTAAACTGAGAAAATGTCGCATTCAAAAAATAAAGGTAATGTTGAAATTGGCAGTAACGAGTCTCAATCAAGTTGGGAAAGGGCAACAAAAAGCTGGCAAATTAAGTGATACAAACAAGGAAGAGCTGGAGGAACATTTTGCAACTAATTAGGTTAATTGGCAACCAGTCAGTAACATGATTGGGTATAAAAGGAGCATCTTAGAGAGTCTGAGTGTCTCAGAAGCAAAGATGGGCAGACGTTCACCAATCTGTGAAAAGCTGCATCTAAAAATGTTCTAACAATTTCAGAATAATGTTCCTCAACGTAAAATTGTAAAGACTTTAAATATATCATCATCTACAGTACATAATATCAAAAGAGAAATCTCTGTGCGTAACGGACAAGATCGAAAAGCAATATTGAATGCCCATTATCTTCGGGCCCTCAGACGGCTCTGCATTAAAAACAAGCATGATTATGTGATGGACATCACTGCATACTTCCAAAAATCACTGTCTGTGAACACAGCTCACCGTGCCATCCAAAAATGCAAGTTAAAGCTCTACAATGCAAAGACGAGGCCATATCTGAACATGATCCAGAAACGCCGCCGTCCTCTTTGGCCCAAAGCTCATTTAAAATGGTCTGTCACAAAGTGGAAAACTGTGGTCAGTCGAATCAAAATTTGACATTCTTTTTGGCAACCATGGGCACCGCATCCCCTAGACTAAAGAGAAGGACCTTCCGGCTTGTTATCTGCACTCAGCTCAAAAGCCTGCATCTCTGATGGTATGGGGGTGCATTAGTGTGTATGACACAGGCAGCTTACACATCTGGAAAGGCACCATCAATGCTGAAAGATATATCCAGGTATTAGAGCAGCATATGATCCCATCCAGACCAACGTCTTTTTCAGGGAAGGCCTTTTTGTATTTCAGCAGGACAATGCTAAACTACATGTAGCATCTATGACAACAGCATGGCTTCGTAGTAGAATAGTCCGGGTGCTTAACTGGCCTGCCTGCAGTCCAGACCTCTCCCCAATTGAGTATATTTGGTGCATCTTGAAACGAAAAGTACGATAAAGAAGACCCAGGACTGTTGAGCAGTTAGAATCATATATCGGGCAAGAATGGGACAACATTCCTCTTCTAAAACTCCAGCAGCTGGTCTCATTTCCCAGACATTTAAACAAAAACCAAGAGGGCGCCTTATCCTGTGCATTATCATTTACTGGTAAATATATACAAACCAATAAAATTCTACTCACAAAGGTGAGGTGCAGGCAGCGTCTGAACAAAGGAGTCACAGAATGACTCTATTTGCAAGATTGTTGGAGGAGCCTGGCTCTGAAGAAGGGGGCGTGCCCCAAAAACACCTTCAGCCAGTGGAGGCTTGGATGACAGAGCAACCAGCGTGTCTTTGCCGGTCTCATCTCACCTCCAACAGCCTTGCAGACACAGTCATTCTGTGACTCCTATGTTCAGACGCTGCCTGCACCTCACCTTTTGTGAGTAGGTTTTTATTGTTTCGTATTTATTTACAGTAAATGAGAAGGCGCTCACTTAGTTTTTGTTCACAGATTATGTGATAGTCTCCCTGACTGTTAAGGAGCAGCCTCACTGTGAGAAGATGTACTATTACTACCATTATTGTATATGCTGGATCCCGTGTGAAGATCCTTAGGCGCTGGTGTGATCTGTGTCCATAGAAAGCGATTTACAGAGTGTTGTTAAAAGCAGAGGGGATGCTACACCGTGGTAAATATGGCCCTGTCCCAACTTTTTTTCAGACATGTTGCTGCCATTCATTTCAAAATTACCTTATTTTTTTCTCAAAGTGGTACATTTTCTGTTTAACCATATATGTTTTCTATTGTGAATAAAATACGGGTTTATGAGAATTGCAAATCATTGCATTCTGTTTTTATGTAGATTTTGTTAGGGTTCCAACTTTAGCTCCAGCCAAGTACATGGGAATAAAGAGTCACACCAAATCCCCCCTCACTGTGTCCATGTATAACTGTACAGCATCCATTCTTTATGTACTGGTCCTGCATCCCCTCTTTATGTACAACAATGTTGGCAATGGATGGGAGCCCTACTAATGTATTTGTATGGACTGTATTAATTGATTACATCACTTTACTGGTGTGTGTGCGTGTATTGTGTATAATGTGTACGCGTATGTATTGGGTTTTTGGTTTGGTTTTTTTTTTGTGCTCTACTATTTGAACATTGCTCTGACACACACAGTCTCATGTAATGAAGCACAAATTGGATAGATAATTAAAGCTGATTTTGGTTGGTACACACAACTTCTGTCTACACTTTACAAATTCCAGTCCTGTTGTCTGATAGAAGTTGCATTTTTCAGTCCGAAAGGGTCTACTTCCAGGTTTTCTTGCCTAAGGATGGAAAGGACAAAAGCAAACCCATATTCTTCTGCAAGAAGTGGAGTATTGGTAAGGCTGTGGATTATGCAGCTTCCTTAGCAAGTCTCAAGAATGACAATAACAGAGCAACAGCAAAGGTATGTTTTAGTTAACATTCCCTGCCACACCTGAAAAACCAACCTGTGTCACCTGGGTGAACTCTATAAACTGCTATAGAATGCCGGGCATTACTTTAAATACTAACTATCCACTGCTTTATGTATGTAATAAAATCTGTTTACACAACTCTGCAACTTTATTCTTTAGGACGTTGTCTTGAACACTTGAATATGAAAATGTTTAAAGTAAATAAGAAAGGTTTTTGCGATAAGTTAAATGTTTACTCTTATGCCAGTTTGAATGGAGTACCCCGAAACATGCTCCTTTATAGTATTCACAGATTCAGGATCTCTGCAGGATTGTATTGGTACATGTAGTTACGGCTTGCTACTATGTTGTTGTAAAGCAGGGGTAGCCAAACTGCGGCCCAGCTGTTATAAAACTACAAATCCCATTAGGCATTGCAAGGCTTCAAGAGCCAAAGGCATGACTTCTAGATGCAGAGGCGTGATGGGGTTTGCATGGCTTTTTCTGTTCTAAAACCTCTACTGACAAGTTTATCTTAAATGCATTTTTTACTGCAACTAGTATAAACATATGATGTAGTCTTCATCAGCCTTCTGTACAACAGCACTCCGGGGAGGGAGAGACAGTATGAAGAGCCAATTAGGCTTTGCTGCATGTGTTCTTGACCAATCTGTGCCACTGCTACAGTGGAGATCAAGGATTTGGCTATGCTGTCTAGCAAAGGTGCCTGGATTACAAAACTGGCTGCACCAAATTACAGATCTTTTAGGCAAAATAGTTCCCATACATGTATTTCAATTTTGGTTCTGATCTGAGCCCAAAGAACAAGTATTCAATGGGTCCAAGCACCACCCTCTGTAGGCCCACTATATCATTGCCTACACATTTTGGAGCATGAGACGGAAGTTGCATAACACAAGATTATGTAACCAGAGAAAGCAGCCCCTGAAGCACACCGCAAGGTCTTATAAATCTGACTGCAAGGCATTTGACTACAATAAATTACAGTGGATATAAAAAGTCTACACAGACCAATTCAGACCAAGATAAATCACTTCAGATTTTCTCCACCTTTTAATGTGACCTATAATCTGTACAATTCAATTATAAAACAAACTGAAATTGTTTAGTGGGGAAAAAAATAAAAACAAAATAATATGGCTGCATAAATCTATACACCCTCTTATAATTAGGGATGTGGCTGTGTTCAGAATTAACCAATCACATTCAATCTGATGTTAAATAGTAGTCAGTATACACCTGCCATCAATTAAAGTGACTGATTAAGCCCATATAAAGCTCAGCTGTTCTAGTCGGATTGTTCTGACATTTACTCAGTTGCCTCTTCTTTCAAAAGTCATATAGTTTACAAAGCATCAAAGGGATCTCATTGTTGGAAGGTAATTGCGAAGATAGTCATAACAAGTGGAGAAAATATGGCGCAGCAGTGACAGTACCAAGAACTGGAAATTCTTCCTTCCTTGATGAAAAAACAAGAAAACTGATCCAGGAGGCTGCCAATATGCTTACAGCAACATTAAGGGAGCTGCAGACAATTCTGGCAAGAACTGGTTGTGTACTACATGTGACAGCAATCTTCCATATTCTTCATATGTCTGGGCTGTGGGGTAGGATGACAAGGCGGAAGCCTTTTCTTACTAAGAAAAACATCCAAGCCCGGCTACATTTTGCAAAAACCTACATCAAGTCTGACGGAAGCATGTGGGAAAATGTGTTATGGTCTGATGAGAACAAGATTGAACTTTCTGGCCGTAATTCCAAAAAGTATTTTTTCTACAAAACAACACTGCACATCTCCAAAAGTACACCATACCAACAGTGAAGCATGGTGGTGGCAGCATTATGCTTTGTGGCTGTGTTTCTTCAGCTGGAACTGGGGCTTTAGTCAAGGTGGAGGGACTTCTGAACAGTTCAAAATATTAGTCAATTTGGCACAAAACCTTCAGACCTTTGCTAAAAAGATGAAGAGGAATTTCACCTTTCAGCATGACAACGATCCAAAGCATACTTCTAAATCAACAAAAGAATGAATTCAAGTGAAGATCAAAGTTTTGGAATGATCCAGACAGAGCCCGGACCTGAATCAAATAGAAAATCTGTGGGGTGAGCTGGAGAGGGCTGTGCATAGCAGATGCCCTCGCAATCTCCCAGATTTAGAGCGCTTTTGTAAGTAAGAGTAGGCAAATATTCCCAAGGCAAGATGTGCCATACTGATATACTCCTACCCTGAAAGACTGAATGCTGTCCTAAAATCAAAAGGTGCTTCAACAAAGTATTAGTTTAAGGGTGTGCATATTTATGCAACCACATTATTGTAAGCTTTTACTTTTTTTCCCCCTTTAAAGATTTCTGTTTGTGCAATTCAATTAAAAACAGATTATAGGTCACATTAAAGGTGGAAAAAAGTCTGAAGTGATTTATCTTAGTATAATTTATTTTTTTGTTACATTTCAAAAACCTGAAATTTTTACAGAGGTGTGACGACTTTTTATATCCACTGTATATTCTGTACATTGTTCACTGGATAGCATTAGCCGTTCACTAGTTGTTTTTTTGGTTTGTTGTTGGTTTCTGTTTTTTTTTGTTTTTTTTTGCTTGAAGCTGTTAAGAAGATTGGATGTTTTGGCTTAATACACGTCAAACAGATTTTAGTTTAGTTTTGGGAGTTTAGTTTTAACTGAACAAGTTAAAATGTGATTTCTTATTGCTTAGTTGTCCTGAAGAGGAATTTTACCAATATATTTGAAATGACCACAAATACACCTTTTAGACATGTTTAGTAATGGCAATCTACAAACCTATAATGATAGATAATTGCTTTTTATTCTTTGCAAACCTTATTTTTCTTTTCCTCCTCATTCTTCTCAGTCACCATCTTTCATTAAGGGCAGATTAATCCATCTCCCTTTACTTCCTGGAACTCTGGCATATGTGACTAGGACATGTGACCATACATGTTATCTCAGAGGAGGAAAATTCCCTCCCCTGAGATCTCAGGAGATTACAGATTAGATTTCCCAGCAATGCTTTGCTGATGTAACCTTCCCAGGATGCAACTCTTGGGCACATTACAACACTAATGCACCAGAGGACTAGGAAGTAGAAAAAACAAGAATTGTTTGTTTAACAAATGAATGTAAGATTATTTCATATCAGCATGCAGAGCTGAATGCTGATGTGATTTTTAGTAAAAGGGGGTAAAGGTCCACTTTAATAAATAAAAGCATGTAATTCATTACAGCAATGTTCTATCATATGGTTATTCTTAATGATTACAGCACTGAGTTAAGATAAATATATTGCATGCTAAGTGGTGTCTGTTTGTCTCTTGTAGAAGCTAAGAGTGTGTCACCCAGAGACAGGACATGCTCTGCCTTTGGACAGTACCGTGGAAACCTGGCTTTCAAGTCCGGAAAATGCTTTATACAACGGCGGGAATATTATTATAGAGTATCTGGATAATGACTGCAGCAGTGTGGAAGATACCAATTCTTACCTAAACTAGTACTACTACTTCTCAACTCGCACATTTTGTACATATATACATTGAATATTTTATTAAGATATACAGAATTAGCCTCCGACTACTTCTTTACAAAGGGATAACAGTATATTATTTAGGTGTAAGGGTAGGTATGTATCACAAAGGCTTGTTTCTGGAATATGAAACAATACTCTAAATGTGTTCTATTGAAGAAGAGCTCCGGTCTAATGGCAATGTGGCATAGGGTTTTAGAATAAGGTGATGTTTAAAGGAAGTCCTTAAGGGACTAAACCCCCCCTCCCCATGAACTGTTTTAGATTTATATTTCTGTCCAGTTGTGAGATTTACACAGCTGTGCCCACACAGCACAGCCCTGTTTGTCAGGGCAGAATGCCTGTTCTTTCTTTCCTGCATATGCGTTACATTTACAGGTCTTGTCCCTCCCCCAGCCAGTGATTTGGAAAAGGCAGAAACAGCACAACCATGAGTTAATTTCTGTTTCTTTCCTCCTATACGCATGTCTCTTGTGAGCCCTTGATCACTGCGGCAAAACTAATTGGCTTCTGGTGCTGCTTCCTCCCCCAGTCTGAGCTCTGCTCTACAGGGGCTGCAAGAGACTATTACCAAGTTAAATATACAGTAAGTACCTACACTGCTCAACATTGATGATTTATTACAAAACGGAGCTGAATTCATTTGTTTTTTCTGTATCTGCCTGGAGTTCAGTTTTATATCCTGTTTAGATTAAGGTTTTTTTGTATTATTTGGAGACCAAGAGGACCATAAGCAGGAAAAACTGGGAGGGTTGGCTATACAGAATAGGCAAATACAGGAGGTCACTGACGGAACGGGAAAGACAATTAATTGTGTATAGTAAAAGGTATTTTATTAGTACAAAAATATCAAAAAGGATAATAATATAAAGACCACCGTCTCTTCACCAAAGGGGTTAAAATACAAATATTGTCTGCAGACTTCAAAAAACACACAGATTGGATGAATAATCCACATTAGCTTTAAACATGAATCATCGAATAAAACATAACAGGACCCGGGATAACTAATACATTGATAGTTTCTTGGACCGGCCCAGAATACTGAGTGCAATGCAATGGAGTGCGGCTCTGTTGATAGATCAGACTGATGCTGTTAAGGGGTGATATGTACTCTTTTCAAACTCCAGATCAACACACCGGTAAGTGATCATTTGAGCCTAATACGGTTCGTGAGAATTCAAAGTTGTGGACCGCACCTGAAATATTTTTCTTAATCCCTTGGTATCGGGACCAATCGGAATTGAATGGTGTGTGGTTTGGTCACAGCAAACTATTGAAGATAGGCAAGCACGCATATACTCAGTAATAGATATGTATCAGTTGTATAGGAACAAACTGTCAACTCGCCGATCACATCGGTTGTTTGGAATTCAAGTGAGAGATGTAACCGATATTTAGCGTGCTGTAAATGTATCCTTATCGCAATGTCACCCAAAGGATGTTGGGATATGATTTGAAAAAGTTATATTGAGTAAGTAAAATACATCAGGAGTTCCTGTGTCTTTAGAGTCATTACTCACATGAGTTGTTTGTTCATGACGATAATATGTCCTTTAGGGGATGTGATCACATCTTTATCCACCTTTCAGAGTCAGTTTCTTTGTTGCAATCGCTCCTGGTTGGGTCTATTATTTTGAGGTCTCTCCCAGTGGAATGGTCCGTTGTTCATCGAGATATTTTAGCCATGAATGGAGGTTGCTGTGGCCATCCAATCCAACAGTCAAACAGCGTCAATCCGCGTCTACGTGTTTCGCCCCTCCCACATTGGGGCTTCATCAGGATGTCCTGGTGAAGAGACGGTAGTCTTTATATTATTATCCTTTTTGATATTTTTGTACTAATAAAATACCTTTTAATATACACAATTGTCCGTTCTGTTCCCTCAGTGACCTCTTGGATTGGCCTATTCTGTATAGTAAACCCTCCCACTTTTTCCTATGTAGTTTTGGTCACAGATTCGGTAGATAGACTTATTACATTACAGAGGGGCATGTGTTTTAGAGTCCGGATCTCCGGGAGAAAATTACCTTTTTCAAGAGGACCATAAGCAGTTATACTTCGTAGTTGAGTGTAAACCTGTTTGTTTGTTTTTTACACTCCTGGGGTGAGAGTTACCAAAGTGGCCAATATTGCTTATTATCTAGCTCATATGTCAGTTACAATTTAGCAAAATAGTTTAGCTGTCACTGGGCCACAACATAAACCATTTGTATCAATGCATTATATGCCAAGATTATTACTGTATGCATATACATTTGCTCTTTTACGTTAGATCTGCTCAAGGGCACATTTTAAATTGTGTGGCACTGCTTTTGTCTGCTGGAGACTGTTTTATGCATTAGTCATACACAGAACTATGCAGTGAAACACATGTGTAGAGAACACCTGAAACAAGGACGTTGTTGTACAACAATTCTTTTTTATTTAAAATGGACATATCTTTTTTCATTATCTTCCTGTCCAAAATATTGCTCCTATAGTGTCTTGTAGTGAACACTAGGGGGCAGCAGTACAACTGCTTTTGCATTATTTTTTTTTCCACCAAAGTGGAAAGCATGGGAATGGGATATGATCCCAATCACATGCGTTCCATTGCATTTATCAAAACTGAACTGCAGGAAAAAAATATTTTTAGACATTTGCTATGTGCAAATAAATTAACTTTCAATCATGGGTGCCGCATATGTGGATGCTGCGCCAATAGCTGGAACTATAACAATCATTAATACCGTACAGTACTTTGAGCACCCAATCCAGTGCTGAAACTCAAAGGTCCCAACTCTAGTACAGTGGTGAAAGTGCATATACCTTTTAGTCTGTTTTTGTTTTTTTTTGTTGCAAACATGCATATCCAACAAGGCTGATATAATCTCATCTCCTCATATATTGGAAGCTTACTTGTGAATATTAATTTTTATTCTGAATCACTTGCACAACAGGAATTGAGGTGAAATCTCCCAACGAGGACACAGCAATAAAAACATGGTTTTCAAGTAGAATAGGTAATGTTCGAGCCTCTGTCAGGTTTTTATTGCGACCCACGCCTCCACAAGAGATATTACCCATTCTGTCCTGACAAGGGTGTCCCTATACTTTTCACTGCCTGAGGCTGGGGGAGTGGTTAATGTTAATGGGCAGAAGGGGGTCCTGGGGCTGGGATTGGGGCTGGTGGTGCACAGTAACCTGGTGTTGGTGGTGGATGGGTGAAGGGGGGCCCTGGTGGTTTACTGGGGAAGGGGGCGGGGGGGGTTTGCTGGTGCTGCACCTCTGCCTCAGGCTCTGTCCGGCATCTCGCCTAGCTCACCGATGTCACTGTTTGCTTTAGGAAAGTGAGGGGTAATCTCCTCAATCAGGATGCACACAGCAATAAAAAGTTCTCACCTTTCTCTATTCTGGTAGATTGTTAGATTGTTTTTATTGCTGTCTATGTCCACATTGAACATTTTCCCATCATTTCCTGTTCTATCTTACACCCATTAACAAATCAGGAAGTAAAAGGAAATCTGCTAAATGGGATACATACAGCTAAATTCACAAGCATTATATAGAAAAAAAGAACGATCCTAAACATTTTCCTTATCCTATCTAAAGCTAAAAGGAAATCTTTTGCCTGTAGTTGGGTTGATAGTAAAGTGCATAAAGAAAATGTGGATAGCAAACCAATCGGTGTCTTTCACTATTCTGCCAATTGTACTAATGAAAGTTAATTGGTTGATGATTACTATTTACACCATGCTTTATACAGTATAAAGAAGGGCTTATCTTGCTGAATCTAGACTTGTATAGACATGACCGATGCAAATAGCGCAGATCTGCTGTCAGCCATTTATATGTAAATCCAACTGAGATGAACAAATTCTGAAAGAATGTCAAGTCCTAGGCCAAGATCTGTTATGAAAAGAATGTATGCCTATAGCTATGAAATGGTATTTAACATAAATGCTGTGCTAAACTCTCAATTTGTATTGTAATGTGTGACGATATTCTATAGGGCAAGTTCATAAAACTCCAGTCCCCACCTAAATTTAGTCTCATTAGCTGGCATTCAAAGTTATTTATAAAGCGTACAGGCCAGTTTTTGCAGAGTCTCTAATCTGTAGAGAATGTGCATGATGACACGTGAGAAAGATCTGTGGATCCATAGAGACCGATATTGAATCGGTGATCGAATAAATCATTTGAGATTTTTATGTGGCTAATGATTTAATCTGATTAGCGCTGGCAGATGTACATTTCACATACAGTATTATAGCTATAATGCATAATACAGTTGGCTAAAATAAATCGTTAGTGAACAGGTCATTTCCCGCTTTATAACTATGCCTAATGGTCATAAATTTAAATGCGCAAACCTAAAGGGCTATTTATAACCAATTTTCAGACCCATTCACCTTATTAATCTTGCTAAACATTCATTCTGTGTAAATAGACACAAAAACAAACGGTCAATATATATATTTTTTCTTTTCAGGTCGAATTTATGTGATGTAATACTGAATTATAGCCACTAGCTAGTGCTGAGGAGCAAAACATGCTTATTTCCTATGCGCTTCATTTCCATCTAGGCCAAAATGGAGTATTACATTACATACATTTGACCTGAAAAAAAGCATATCTAAAAATGGTCATTTTTGTGTCTATTTTCACAGAAAAAAAATGTTCAGAAAGATTTTTAGGGTATAACTCTGCAGATTGGTTATAAATAGACCACTTATAGTGTTTTACTGACTACTGTAACAATTATCACAACCAATTATTACCTTACATAAGAACAGAGACCAGTGATGTACATTAACGCAACAGCAGCCAAGTCATCATCTAATACTAGTGCTAAGTGCTAATGTCTGATCACCTTGATTCCCAACCCATCACTGTGTAAAGTTTATCTATCTATCTATCTATTTATTTGCCTGTCTATTTATCTTGATTGAATCTGATGAATTATTAGTTTGCTAATCTGTCTTTCACCTGTCTACCTAATAGGTTTCTGGAGTACAATCATTTTCTAGCTCACCCTAATCCTGTATTTATCTTTATTAAATTAAATACTAATTTGATGTCACTGGTCACTTTTTGTCTGTAGATGTTCCAAACAGGTTTAGCTTCCTACCGCATTAGTAAAGTGTCTTCTATGACCGTACTCACTATGATCAGCAATTTACCGTAATGTTTATCTTCCCTATTCCCTATTCAGATTGCCTAGAAATTATAAACCCCCATGTCTGTAAACATAAGACCCTTTATAGCAAACTACAAGGACTGTTCCAGCAACAAGGTTGATGAAGATGATCTGGGTGGGACCAGCAGTGACACACAATAACCTCTTTAGATTGTTCTGTATCCACCATATCCATGTTAGTACAAGCCTGAGATCTTGGAGATCACAGCACTTTCCTTCAGGCTGTAGGCAGAAAAGTTATTTCTAGCAAGAAGTTTCTGGTGTAAGGAAGGGCTTGTGTCACCAAGACGTCATTACCTGCCCAACCTGTTTCTCTGCTGTCCTCATTCAAATAGCAGAGCCCCTCACCTACAAGATCATTCACTACTCCTGGAGTTTACTCACAACTCTTGCTGCAAAATGACAGCCTTCAAGGGAATATGGACCAGACAATTCTGGACTTCAATGGCTGGGGAATTCTTAGCTGTCTTTTTGTTTCTGGTTATTAGCTTGGGATCCACTGCAAGTATGAATCCAGGTGGTAACAGCGACACCCACATTGCCTTCTGCTTTGGACTGAGTATCGCTATACTAATTCACTGCTTTGGACATATATGTGAAGCTTTCCTGAACCCTGCAGTAGCAGTTGCAATGATATGTACGAGGAAGATTACAGTGGCCAAAGGACTCTTCTATATTCTCATTCAGTGCTTGGGGGCAATAGCTGCAACTGGAATAGTGGCCCTTATTACCCCAGAAGAAAAATGGCCAGTGGGTGTCACCAAGGTGAGTGTAAAGCACTATAGAGTAAATTGATTGAATGTCAACCCTATTTTGTAGCAGATCTTTGGTCGCAGTAATTATTGTGGTTTTTTTTTTATTTATCTAGGCATCCAACAGTTGGTGTTTTCACACTCCAGTCATTAATGACGTTTAGATATCTGCACTGACAATTGTTTTCATACTGCAGTTTCAATCCAATGATAATAAGTCCTAGGACAGCTAAAGGCATCCTTGGCACTCTAACTGTGGTGAAAATACAAATTTCATGAGGCCATGACAGTCACAGGCATAAGAGAGGTAAAGGTATCCCAGAGGCAGATGTAAAGGCATGATGAGATATGTAGGTTTACCACAGCTGGAGTGCCAAGGTTGCCTACCTTTTTCCTGCGAGAACACATAATACTGTGTTCTATGTAGATCACATCCAGAGTGCTGCATGCAGGGATTTGGACATGCTCTGTCACCCTGCATGTGAGCACAGATATATGACTATAATGTTACAGAACAGTACTCAAGGTTTACTTCACTTGTGTCATGCACTAAAATAATATGTGAATAAATCCTAAAAGTGTATTTTTCCAGGTTTCTTTAAAGATTCACATATTACATTTTATATGCGATTCTTTTAATGTGTTAGTGATTAACAAATCTTTCTCCTTCCTGGAAACAAGGAAACATAATCTGTTTGAGATCCCTGAGGTCTAATGTTGGGAAAGACTGCTCTCTAGCAAAGGTGTGTCCCACATCACGAAACACAATGTTTTGCCAGTCTTGAAAATACATTTTTGATTATTCATATTGATTTCATTTGTTAATGAGATGTAACCCTTTATTTGTACTTGATTTGTTAAATGTTGTATACTATTGTTACATATCTGCAGCTATGACATCTTTGTCAACTTAGTTTCTCTTTAAAAAAAACAAACCCACACACAGATACTCACCCTTCCCCTGTTCCCCTGCCTCATCATATGTCTCTTGGAGTCGGGAAGACATGTGTAAGCTCCGTGTTGGATGGTGTTGGTGCAGCAAAGGAGATTATGAGTGGGTTTGTGTGTGTGATTTGTTCTTCCAAGAGAATCAGTCATTTTGTCCTAAATAGGCCAAACATAACAAATACATTTTTTGATAGGGTAGGGTGGAAGGGTTAGAAGCTCCATCGAACCTCCATGGTAGGATAAGGATTAGAACCTTCATATAACCTCCACGGTAGGGTAAAGGTTAGAAGCTCCATCTAACGTTCAGGGTAGGGTAAGGATGAGAACCTCCATTAAGATTTTTCTTATTGTCTGTCTGTGACTCCAGTGGGAGAATTCCCTCTCATATTCTGTCTGTGAAGGTTCTCATTCATCCAGGTCATGGTATATCTGTAAAAAAATAAGTAAAGGCAACTGGACTTGCCGTATTTTTCTTGAAGACGTTTCACTGGACATCCGACCAGCTTTCTCAGCTTTCTTTTGAGAAAGCTAGTCGGATGTCTTCAAGAAAATACAGCAAGTCCAGTTGCCTTTTACTTATTTTATCAGATATACCCTCATATTCTGTTACTGTGATACTAGGTGATACCAGGGCAAGAAATTAGCAGCACCTGTGTTAACTGGGTGAGAAGAGCAGAGGTTCTATGTGTCCCTACTCTGTTAAAAAGGTGCTGTCTGAGACCTTATTGGAGATATTTGTCATCCTGTCCCTGCACAACTCTGTCCCAATAATGTGAAGTAAGGGGAAGTTAACAGGAAGTTGGTGTCTTATCCAGGGAGATGAAGCTGCATTGATGATTACCACAGCCAAGTGTCTCACACGATGCTGCTCTTACATAAGGGTCCTTTACCTGTGAAGGCTGTGTGATTTCACAGGGGTCTGTCATGTCCATAAGGGTGTCTTGTGCCCTAACCTTCTCTCCCTGAGTTTATGGTGGTGAATAAACTCTAAGAATTGAGTGACGCCCATCTGTTCACAACCCCACTAAAAGTCAAGGACCCCACCCTGAGGTTAAATGTCGGCCCACCTGACCTCTTGGGTGCCTAATGGCCTCCAGGGAGTACGGGGGTGCTACAAAGGCACATTGGCAATAGGCAGCTCAACAGTATCAAGAAGTGGAGTGCTCTACCAACAGGATTTAAAGGCAGTGGAAACTGCAGGTGCTATCTTTAGCCTTCGCCTTTTCCTGTCCGAATGACTTTGATCGTTAATCAATAACTTCTCCCACTTATCTGTACCCTTGATGTCCCCCCAGCTATAAACTTTCTATGTCATCAATTATTTTGTTATAATAAGGGCTGTATATGAACCTAAAGTTGTTAATGTGTATATGTATCAGCACCCCACTTATATGCAAAACATGTAAAGAGGGGATTAGGGGACTTCCAAGATTCCAAAGTGGACTTGTAAGATACAGTAATACAGTGAAATAAAAAATGAGTAACTTTTATTCTACCAGTAATATTATTTTTTATAGGATGATTTTTATTAGAATGTACAGTTAACAAGTTTAACTGTTTACAAAACAGAAAAAGAGCCAATAAGGCTACTCAAAAGAGGTAAAAGAAGAAATTAAAGCAGACGCCCAATACATTATATATTGTATATATAGTCAAAGAAGAATACTATACTAGATCATATAGCACAATACCACAGTAATGGTATTTTGCAATTTATACAAAAGAAGGGCTATTAAGCTATACAATAGGTAATGTCTGGGCAGAGCACATAGGGGCAATTCTGAGCCATAGTATTGGATGAAGGATAGGAGGAAATTTTACACAAGGGTTGAATAATCAAATCAGATGAGACTTCTGACATGGTGAGGTAGATACCCACAGGCCCCAATTTTTGTAAAGAGAGGGGGGCGACCTCTATTCTCAAATGCTGGTTTGACCAAAGGAAGCATGGAATGTATTTGACATTTCCACATATCAAGGGAGGGGGTGGGGGTTAGGAGATTTCCATGATAAGATGACACATATTTTCACAGCGTTCTCAGAAATGTTTTTGGTTGAGAGGAGAGTGTTATATCTCCAAACAGGCCCAAAAGACATACCTCAGGTCAGAGGATACCTGGAAAGTCAAAGAAGATTGGGTCACATGACCACATTGTATCAGAAAAATCAACAACCACCTGGCAGCTCTTAAAACTGGATTGTTGAGTGCGTAATTCAAGAGCATATTGCTTTGAAGGAGTATAATGAATTTGATGGAACAATTTGTGTTGAACAACTTTATCTTTAGCTGAAATAAGGGTCCACATACTGTATAATTTGTTGCAAATTGTTGCCAGTCATCCTCTGGTATGGATGGTATAATAGAAGACCAACGCTGTTTGGTAGCTGTAAACCTAGAGGTTTTAGTTTGCAATAGACATGAATAAAAGCAAGAGATTGGCTTCTGTAGCAGTAATATTATTTTACAACAAGGCCCATGCATAGTAAGACAACATAAAATGTATTTCCTCTTTTGCAGCCAGATTGGAATAACACCTACTTTACATATGTTACATGCTGCCATTCACATAGGATAACTTAACAAAGATGTACAATTTGCAGCTTACTTTGTTTCGATGATGTTTCTGAAAAATCCTGCTTAGTTCTCACTAGAGGGTTGGGAAGAGTTTTGTTTCAAATAATTAACCCTGTCTGTACATCCTCCATCAGGATTGCAATTATAGTGTAGATAATGGACTTGTAGAATGTTTTGTACCATAATTTAGAATATTTGACAGGCAACATGGGAAATGTACTGCAAGGTACTGTTTTTTAAGTTGTCTTACTACATGTGAGCCTTGTTGTAAATGGGCTGCATGTATTTTATAAGTTCCCTTTGGTAGCTTGAGAATCCCCCAATCCTCTCTTAACATGTTTATTAATTATTTTGCTTCTGCAGCTGCAGGCATCCCTTTAGACATGCCTGCATCTGCACAGATAAAGTCTGCAGCACCCAGTAGCCGACAGGCAGAAACAGGCACATCTACAGTGATCCCGGGGATGTGTTCTTTCATATAATGCTTTTGAAAAGAAAGATATGATGTTTACAGGAGCCAACCAAGCTTAGACCAAAGTGCAGCAGACAGGCCCAATGATTATATCATTCGGTCTTAAAACAGATTTTTTTTGCTCAGGGGGTATGTGGTCAAGCTAAGGTATTACAGGTGAAACTCGAATAATTAGAATATCGTGCAAAGTTCATTTATTTCACTAATGCAACTTAAAAGGTGAAACTAATATATGAGATAGACTCATTACATGCAAAGCAAGATAATTCAAGCCGTGATTTGTCATAATTGTGATGATTATGGCTTACAGCTCATGAAAACCCCAAGAACCCCAAATCCACAACCTCAAAAAAGTAGATTATTACATGCAATCAATAAAACAAGGATTGTACATAGAACAATATCGGACCTCTGAAAAGTACAAGCATGCATATGTATTCAGTACTTGGTTTGGGCCCCTTTTGCAGCACTTACTGCAATTACTTTGGCACGATATTCTAATTATTCGAGTTTCACCTGTATATGAGTACACTACACTTCAGCTTTAAGGAATTGTAGAGGTTGGTTTAAATCATATTTTGGGTATCTAAAAAATGCCATCTAGAGATAAAGTCTTAAATTAATAAAATTCATGCTTGGACTAGAGTTCCTACAGCTGGTGGGTTAGACATACCTTGTTTAGCACTTTTAAGTACAACCTATTACATCATATATAGACCCTGATGGATTACTGCACTGTACTTAATAAGCGTATGCAGGAGAAAGAAAAAAAACTCTTTCTTACAATGGACAGTTCTATAGAAGCAAGAAATGCCTCCAACTTTAGTATCATAGCAGTTATTTGGCTGTTTCTGTATATTGCAGAAGGGTGACCATGAGTCTCTTATTCATGCTCATTACTGCACTGGGAGATTTTTTAACTGGTGATCAGAAGTTCTGAGAGTGCGCTGTGGTCAATAACAGCAGGTCCTAGCTCTTTGTTAAAGGAGAACTATGACCTAACCGTTTTAAATTACATGTTCAGATAAATGGTCCACCAGTAGGGGCTTTGTGTTGTAAAGGGTGAGCGGTTTCAGATCCACATAAAACTGCTTCTGTTACGTAAGTTATTTGTCAATGTGGCAACTGCTGCTAACTGCTAGACATGTGCAATTAGTTTCAGCATTGAAATGAATGCTGAAAGAAATAACGAATCTGAACGTATCCGAATTTTTGATAACAAATTCAGATGCATACGAAAAATGTTTACAAATGTAAATCAGAATGATCTTGTGTTAAACATTAAAAGAAAAAGAAAAACAGTGTGGAGTCCCCTCCCCACCCTTTATGTCTGGTAGGAATTTTAGAGCGTGGGATGACCCCTTGGCAAAGCACCTTGTCCTTTTGTTGATGAGGTCAAGGACCTCTTCCCCAAAACCCTCGGTGGTTGTGGGAGTCTGCGGGCAGAGGGGGCTTATAGGAATCTGGGTGCCCTCTTTTAAAAGGCACCCAGATGCCGCCCCTCCCCCTCGTGAATGAATAAGGGGTATTTGGTAACCCCTACTAATTCACCAAATACAGTAAAATAAGTAAATAAGCACACCACACTGTAGAAAAAAAGTCCTTTATTTGAAAAAACAAACAAACCGTTTTTTGACAAATCTTTAATAAAAAAAAAAAAAGTGTCCATCGATGTAATCCACATGTCAATCACATTGTCCAGCGATTTTAGATCCAAGTCAATCCCAATGGACGCCAACTCGCCAGACACCAGCCGCAAAAATTACAGCTCTGCTCCCAAATGTCAACAGAGTGAAAAAAAAAATGATGGGGCAGAGTGAGTGTGACATTATAGGACTTGTTCCGCCTATTTGTTTGCATGCCATTATCAGACCGAGAGCTTCCCCTTTGTTGGCATTCGGGAGGAGAGATGTCACTTTGTGGCCAGTGTTTCGAGGGGATCGGTTGTGGCTGTGGGCACCGGAGAATTTTTTTTCCAGCAAGTCGGCAGCCATCATGATTGATGTGGATCTACATTGCTGGACAACGTGATTGACTTGTGGATTACATCAATGGGCATTTTTTTGGGGGGGGAGGTTTAATAAAGGAATTGTCAAAAAACTTTCTTGTTTCTTTTTCAACAACTATCCCTTACTCATTCACGAGATTCCCAGATTCCTATAAGCCCCCCTGCCATTGTCCTCATCAACGTGAAGACAAGGTGCTTTGCCAGGGGGTGCCTCCCCATGTTCAGGGCATGTTAGCTGTGGCCTGTTATGGTGCAGGCTCTGCCAGGCTGCTGCTTGGAAAAAGGGATTTTAGGGGGACCCCACACTTTTTTTGTTTTTGTGTTGGGGCCCTCCTAAAATTCCTACCAGACCTAAAGGGTCTGGTAAGAATTGGGAGGAGACCGCACGCTGTTTTTTTATTGTTCCTGTGGACTGTCAAAAGTTAAATAAGAGAACATTTAATGTCACTTTTCTGCAATGAACGTTCGTTCGTAATTATCGTTTAACTCATCTGAAATTAACAAATCTGTCAAAATCCGAATAACGTAACAAATTGACTTTTGGACCCGAATCCCGAAAAATATGAAAAGAATAGAAACGAACCGAAACAAATTTTTCGCCGGCTTACATGTCTACTAAATGATGATCTAAATTATGTATTCACAAATAATTAATTCAAACCCTAAATCTTTTTTGTCTTGCAGGAGAACGCCACTATCTCGCATGGTCAGGCTCTTCTGGTGGAAACGCTTATCACTTTTCAGCTGGTCTTCACAATTTTTGCTTCTTGCGACAAGAAAAGGAATGATATTAAAGTCCCCATTCCTCTAATCATTGGCTTATCAGTTACCATTGGACATCTTTTTGCAGTAAGTGCAATTGTCAATAAACAACATTAATATTTCTGTCCTGGAAGGTCATCATAGGGAAATACAGACCCCTATATTCTAGAGGTTGTCTGAGTGAGCCGTGTATCCTAGCTGCATCTTTTTGGATTGGGAAGGGAAACTCGGCTCCCTTGGGCCTCGTACACATGGGCGGTGAGAGAGCAGTAAAACTGCATTTTTGATCTGCGGGTTTACCACCAGCCACCCACTGCAATGTTAGCACTGGGCCGAACAGTGCTGTATACGTTGCCACACCTGTGACGCTCTGCGTCGTGGCATGACAAAAAATATACAGTATGTTGCATGTTGATTCTCAAATGTGATCACTCCTAAACGCCAAGAAGCCACTGCTCCACAACCCTCTATAAAGAGATCCACTGCGGAGGAGTTTGCCTCCTGTCTGAACAAGGCCTTAAAGTGTATGCAAAGTCAATTATCTTTTTGTTTCATTTTTATTAACGAATGGTTAAAACCTAATTTTTGCTGTCTGTGCCCAATTAGGCAGACTTTGCAGCTTTTCCTGTCTCAGAGACATGGAGCTAGAAAAAATCTCCATGTAGACAATTGTTTCCTATTGGAAGGTTTCCCTCCTGTTCCTGGAACAACTTTAAACCTTTTTTGTATTTTTTTTTGGTTTCAGTCTTACATGTTTTTATTGCTGTCTATCCCCATGCTGGTGACCCTAGACCAATGTGAGAATGTAAACTAATGCATTCCTGGAGTTCAGCTTTAAGTAGAACAGGAGCTGAGGGAAAATGTTCAAATGAGGACACCTGTTCTAATGACAAGTGTCCAGAGGGAATTTACTCTTGTTTTGGAGATTTCCTCTAACTTTCTTGTGTCTTCAGGATATCAAGTGAAGGGAAATCTATCCAATGGAACACAAAGAGCAAAACAAATATTCCTGACAGGGGTTTTAACCATTACTCATTCAATCCAAAAGTTAAACAAGTTACGTCTTTGTACCCGGACAAGGTCCTCGGGCACTGAAGGGGAAGATGTCCCCTAACTCACACTGCCCATTCCAAGGCTTACATATTTTAAATATATTTATTTGCCTTTTGGAATGTTTGCAGAATTATGCTTTATATATTCGGAATTCAGTCCTCTGTTTAAAGTACTTAAGAGGAAATCTCTTGTTTTTCTGCTGTGGTGTTTGTACATTTCATTGATAGGAAATTAGAAGATTGCAATTTGTGTTTTTTGTCTCCTAAAACCAAGTTTATAAAATGTGAACTATTTGTTGATATGTAAATATTTGTCACAAGATTATTAGTATTTTAAAGCAACAGTATTAATATATTTCCTTGATACAAATAACCTGTTGTACTAGTTTGGAGCACAGGAATGTTTCATACACCACCCCAATTGTGTTTATGTATATCTTGCTAAAACCACAAACCAAAGTGCTCACAAAGTACAAAGATTACATGCACTCACAGGGAATCCGCTGCCTCTTAAACCTGGTACGTACATGTAACATATATACCTGGGGGTGCTTATGTGACATCACTATACAAGCGTATAAACCAAGACTGTTCTCTCAATGCACCATATGAAGCCTCCGGGGCAACCACCAATTCCATTGTAAGTGTACAGTGCAGGTATAAGTGCAGTTTGGTGGATTTGGCAGACATAGTTGGATCACCTTGTAGTGGTGGTGGCGGCAGGTGGGCAGACCCTAGGAACATTAAGATGATATTTTCATCATTGGAGTCCCAAGGAGATATAACAAATCTGCCAATGGATACACCAGTTCCAGGGAACACTGTCTAAGAGGGGAATTTCCCTTATTTTGTGCATTTTGTTGCATCTCTGGACATGAAGCGAAACGGAAATCTTCCCCAATGGGGCAACAAGTTAAAAAATAAACTGACAGGGGTTTAAAACACTCCCTGTGCTATCCAAAAAAGGGTTTTGGCTACATGTACACTTTAAGGGCAAAGGAGGCCGACATCTGCGTCCTCTCCAAATGACCCCTGAGCACCTATAAAGATTGTTAGTTATAATTGCACTAAATTTATATTGATCAGAAGGCAAGCCATTCCCTTAATGTTTTTACATATTACACTTAGTGAGCTTGTGTGTTATTCTGGTGTGATGTAATTGTATAAAAGTATTTCATCAATGCATGATGACCCTTGTTTAACAGAAATCTGTAAGTAAAGAAAAATGGAAGCTGTCATTGCTGACTTCTGCAGAAGATTGCACAATCTTTGTCATTCTGATCCTTGCTTTACTGACTAGTGAGTCAATGACCTGTTGGCAGGAAAGAAGAGTTTTCAGACTTCACTGTCTGCATGTTTGTTCCAGGTTTGTGACCTAACAAGGACTATTAGGATCAGACTAACAAGGACTATTAGGATCAGAATGACAGCCCTGAAACCTGCAACTTTAAAAATAAGTCAGCAAAGGCAGCTTCCATATTTCTAACCTCCAAAAGTGCATTTCAGTTATAGGTTTATATTTTTATTTTTAACTATGTTTTATCTTGGGTTTTTTGTATTCCTCTTAGATTCAGTACACTGGTGCCAGCATGAACCCAGCACGATCACTAGGAACGAGTCTTGTGTTTAACCATTGGGAAAGCCATTGGGTAAGTCTGAAACGGCACAGAAAAAAGTGCCTATGCATTATATGTAGCAAGAGAAAGAAAAAAAATCTTGACTGGATTTAACGCTAGGTCAGGAGTATTCTGGAGACTACTACTGTTTTGAGTAGACACGTAAAGGGCAAATACTTCTATTAAGCTTTTTTTGCTCTCTGTTGCCTCATTGGAGACTTTTAATCTCATTTCCTGCCCCTGTCACAGCAGAAGAGGAAATGTGGGGAGCGGATGTCACTGGGACAGGAAGATACAGAGAGTAACAATAACCGAGGTTCTAAACGAACCACATTTTACTGACAAATGTGGTGCATTCTGTGAGAGATTTCCTATCACTCGTTTTCTTAGTGGGAATACAGACCACAAATAAAAACCTGCAAGAGGCTCTCTCCCTTCTCCACTCTGTCTAAAGCAAAAAAAGTTTTAGCTGGGCTTTAAACATTTTATAAGTATAGCGTTTTTTTTAAACAATATTTTCTCTGTCCTCTCTACTCTACCGCTCCCGTCTATTCTTCTCCATTCTCTTTTCATCTCCTCTTCTTTACTTCTCCTTTCTGATTCTCTTCTCCTTTATTCCTGTCCTTCTATACTCCCACTATTCCCCTCCTTTTACCCCTTCTCTTTTCCTTTTGCATCTCCTCCCTTCCCACTCCTGTCCTTCCCACCCTTCCTTAATCCTCCCCACTCATCTCCTAGTTTTCCTTTTATTCTCTTCTCTCATCTCATCCCCTCCCTATTACTCTCCTTCACTCCCCTCCAGCCCTGGTCTCTCATTTTCTTGTATCTATCCTCTTTTCCCTCCATACTCATCTTTCATCTCCTCTTTCCTCTCTCCTCTCCTCCCTCCTCTCTCTTTCTTACCTTCACTTCTTTTTCCTCCCCCCAAGTAGAATTTGCATAATGAAACATTGTATACAGTATGTTGAACAATATCACAAATCATTTATGGTTCATTTTGTATTCTTCAACTCTCTGCAGATTTACTGGATTGGTCCAATGATGGGTGGTATCCTTGCTGCTTTTGTCTATCAATATTTATTCTGCCCAGATCCTGAAATCCAGCTCCAGGCTAGCTTTAAGAGACCTCAGAATCAAGAGGAATCCGTTCAGTTAACAGTGGTACCTGGAGGAGAATGTAACAAGCTGGGATCTAGTGACATTTGAGATTTTGCTATCTAGTATACTGCCATCTTTATGGAAAAATAAACTTTTGGACTTTAGTGCTCCTGTTCCTACTGAAATGTGGATGGCAAACATTGACTAAGGACAAAGAAAAAAGCTGCTTATTAATACTAAAAATATATTATGTTTTTGTCAGTTGCGTAAGGTCCAGTCAACTTAAATTACAAGTTGGTTCGCATACAGGGGTGTGAAAGTGTATGTAGAGTCAAATGTTTTTGTTATTTCAGTTTTGCATAGAGTAAGGAATGGTGGAAACTCCTGTTTATTTTTTGTTATCTGTGCCCCTTTGAAGAGATTGGACTTTTACAACCTGTCCCTAAGACTCACTAAGAAACTCTATAGCCTAAGGGGAAATCCTTTCTTATACAGCTGTGTGGGGGTGAAGTTTCCTTCAAGTAAAATAAAATCCTGACAGAGGTTCTAATCCGTCCAACTGTACTAGAAAATGTGTTTATATTGTTGATTGTAC